GCATTTCATCTCTGTTGGCAGGTTATAAAATGTCACTTTTCATAAATTACTTTTTTCCCGTGGGAAAAAAGTGAGTACTTTTTTCCCGGATATATATCACATATATATACTCTGTTAATGGCTTTTGTTGTGCTATAGTTCCGAAAAATGAGTCAATAATACCGTCTCCGAGAAAGATCTGCAAGTCCTTTTATCTTCCATTCGACTTCGCGGTTTCGTATATTACTAAACAACAAAACAACTACTGAATTCGCAATTTTTCAAAATCAAATCACAGAATTGAACTGACAGAAGTGACATCAGATATTTGATTACTTCAAAAGAATGATAAAGATGTCTATAAAACGCAGGTGTCCCTACTGTTAAAAACTTGAAATTTCACGTCGATAATTTTCAGATTTCGAAATAATGTAATATCTTCTCAATATTGATTCGTCCTTCCTTCTGTCACAGAAAAAAATAGTGTATTATACACGGGAAAAATATTAGATTTCAGCTCACGGTTTTTTGTCTCAACAACACAACCTGGAGCTAAAATCTACTACTTTTTTCCCTTGTATAATAAATAACTATTTCTGGTGTTATCCCTGCGAAAGCTATCGACATCATTCGCATGAAGCTATTTGGGCTGACCGAAAGTCCGAAAGGTAGTCTTGTGAATCGATAAGAACCTGAGTCTACACTGAAGGAGGTGAGATCTCTTGATTCATTATCTAGTGGGATTTGATGAAAACCAGAAATTAAGTCAAGAACCGAAAACCATTTCGTCCTACCGAGTTGATCTAAAATATCGTCAATTCTTGGCAAAGGAAACTTATCTGCGATTAGTTTTTTGTTGAGCTGTCGAAAATCGATCACCAAACGCCATTTCTTTTGACCATCAGTAGCCTTTTTCGGTACTAGCAACACCGGACTATTATAGTTTGATGTTGAGGGTTCTATAACCTCATTTTCTAACATTTTATTCACTTGTCTACTAATCTCTTCTTTTTGAAGTGCAGGTGTACGATAATTTTTAGTGTAAACAGGACTGTTGTCTCGCAATTTCAATTTTTGTTTATAAAAGTTATTAACCGTAAGTTTATCCGATTTCAAAGCGAAAACATCAACAAATTCACTACATAAATTATACAGATCGCCTTTCACGAATTCCGGTACTTTCATGTTTAATTGTTTCAATATAGCTTGCCTATCGGTTTTTTCTATTTCTATATTGAAAATGTCGAAATCATTTAGGTCTGCTGTTTCGTAACGTATATTTTTCAAGATAACATTTTCTGCTGTTGTATTAATTATTTTTACGAATTGATTTTCACTGGAAACTATACATCTTGCGACAAAAATTCCAGACTTTATTTCCTGATTCATTATTAATGTATCTTTCGAAATGTCTATTAATTTTATTTTTCGTATAACTTCACAACGAGATGGTATTACAATAGTATCGTCTTCTGGACTGTTATGAATCGGAACAGTAGTTTTTCCATGACCTAAGCGTACTGTTAGACTCCAATCGTTATAATCCAATATACATGCATATTTTGAGATGAAATCTCGACCAAGAATTCCGTCGGCTGGGACAGGAAAATTTTCATCCACAATATGAAAAGTATGTTTCAAAGAATACCCGTTAATAAAAATATTTGTTTCTGTGGATCCCAGACAATCGGTTAGACCATCAGTAATACCCTTAATTCTATAGCGTTTTGAAATGTCTATCATCTGATCTGGATTGATTTTGGTTCTTTTGAAAATGGATATGTCAGCACCAGTGTCAACTAAATAAGTATTTTCAGTCCTTGTCATTTCATTCTCAAGAAAAACAAAATTGGATAGTGATAAATCAAAAGTAAATATATTTTTCACATTTCCCCCAATCGTACCCGTTGGGGGTCCGATTGGTTTTCCGGAGCTGGCTCTGATTCGTAGGACCTCACATATCGTGCCTGAGAATTATATCTTGGGTAACTTTGTGAATTCGATGACCTTGTCGGGGCAAAATTTTGGTATTGGCGTCTTTGATTTCCACGCCAATTTCCACGAATGCTACCGTTACCTCTATGCCAATGATTACTACGATTATATCCAAAATTATTGTTACCCCTTCTTCCGCGGTAACTATTTCTACTATTATTATTATAATTGTTACCGCCAACGTAAAATACATTGGAAGTACTGGGTGTGGTGTCGATATTTACAAATTTTGCGATTGCTTCCTGAATATTATTATAGTTACTCGCTTCCATAACCCAACGTGCTTTTTCGGAAGCAGCATTTCGACTCATTGTCTTAATGGCTATATCAGTCGCATAATTCTCAGCTACGCTATGTGGGACTCCTTCGCTGATGAATGCTCTTTTCAAGTCAGTCGTCAGTGACTCTATCTCAGTGGCGTACGTGTTCGTGTCTTTAGAATTTTGTTTTAAACTTGATAATTCAGCAGATAAAAATTTAGAACTATCTCCTTTTATTCCATTTCTGAGAACGTTACTAATATCTGAAATTGTGTTTTCATTAGAAATCAAATCTCGAGCTTTCCCTGTCAATCGAGTCTTTATGTAAGCAACAGCATTTTCTTCCTGACTTTCCACATTATTTTCTAGCAGGGTCAATGCATCTAAAAATGATTGTAATTTATCGGGAGATCCATTGAATTCGTTTGGCACTAGTTTATGGGCTAAATTGAAAAATTCTACAGCGGATAGAGGCATTATTTCTTCTTCGTCCTCGCTATCGTCTTCTGAGATGGATGGATCTATTGATTCAACTGAAGACAGTGGAACCTTATATTTAGTATCTAGTATTTGGAATGACCTAACTACTCGATCCCTGATTATAAGGAAATTCCTTTTAACCCACTGTTTTTGTTGATCATTTAAAGAATTAATGAAAATAGCGACAATCCGAGTGTATTCATTAAAGTATCTCACTAGGTTATCTCGAATTTCTTGTCTAATATGTTCACTTTTGGGAGTATTCTTTTTAATTGCTCGCTTAGACTCTTTATATAGATTTTCTTTATTTATCGAAAGTTCGGTTTTGATCTCTTTCCAGGATGGCATTTATGAAGAAAAAAAAATCATTCCAAGCTTATATAGTGCACAAATATCCGCAAAATCAAAAAGAAATGATAATAGCATACAAAATTGTCCCTATGTAATAGATAGAACCCAAAAATGCATAATAAAATATGTGGCGACAATCAATACAATTCGCTCACCCAAGGTATATCTTCTTACTACCTCGAATTATTCATAGTTTCGGACTTGAATAGCCAAGCAGGAGCTCTTCTTTCTTCTATGCGGTAACCATATGTTCTTCTATAACAGGAGATTTTCTTCTATACCAGGAGCATTTCTTCTATAACATTTCATTTCCACTGAGTTTAATTTTGTCTTTACACTGTAGCACGTCTTTGTCGTCTATTTATTTGTCCAATTGCACTGATTTGCACTAAACTGAAGCATTCAGATTGTCTCTGCTCTGACATCTGATGACCTCATGAATAACCATTTTCTTGAGATTTTTCTGCCACTTCTTAATCATAAAATAGGCCAGGACTACGAAGCCTAATACCACCAAACAAATCAGCAACCATTCTGTTCTTGTGATGTGTGATAACTTGGCATCAGCATCACCACTTGCTGTCTGCGCTATGATTACTTCTTCTTTCGATGATTTTCCTCCCATTTTCACACTTATTTCACCAACAAACTCCTCAAATACCTTTACTGTGTGAGTGTATGGCAGGATCGCCATGTAATGTAGCAATCGGGATAAGGGTAGATTAGTAAAACTCGTCACATTTTCTACACCCAATATAATAGCATTTAGTTAGTGAGCCATACACCACAGTAGCTATATGCAATCTGTCCTACATAATTACCTTCTATACCTGTTCAGTAATGAATATGCTGAGTTGGTTGAATATGTTATTAAACAATATTTATTATTGACCTGATTGCACTACAAAGTATTTGAGCAGAGAATACCCCAAAGCATGGTTTGGCTCTGATGGTGTTTTAAGAACAAGACGGGACTGGATCAGTCTTGGTCTTGGTCTTGGTTTTGGATCAAAATGCGTTCAGAAATTTGAATCATTCGATTCAAATATACAACAGTTTTCGTGCATATAATAATAATTTCGTATTTCTCAGTCTTCAGAATTATTGTCAATTTGTGCGCATGAAGTAGAAAGCGAAATGAATTTTTTCTTTCTAGAGTTCTACACTGTAGCAATTCTTCCATGCAGAAAGCACAATCACGTGAAGTTCAATGATTCGAATTGTTCTGGGGTGGAGTTCTTGATTTCTTACTCGTTTTTTGTTGATTTCTCAAATGGAAATTCTCGTTATTTAGAAGAATTACAAAAAAAAAACAAATATCATGGAAATATGGTTTAAGATTGTCTCATATCGATGTTCTGAATATATGTACTCATTTTTGAAACACCTCGTATATGTAACATCCTCATACATCACTATGCATCTCTTGGAGCGCACAAAATAAAATTCGTGGACAATCGCGCTTACCTATATAGGATAGGAAGACGAGGTAGGTGTTGGTTTTCTTTGAACTTCTGGTGGTTATGAGTTTTTGAATTGGCAAAGATTTCCAGAGCTTTGCCGTTTTGAAGACGAACGAGTTTTGGCAGAGTGGTGTTTGACATTTTTCAATCACCATTTCATCACCATGATGCAGATCCTATATGGAAATTCACATTCTATTTCCATTTCAGTAGAATCTGATGTGGGTTCCCAATGAATGAATAATGAATGAATGAATAAAATAGAAAAATGGGAATGACAACAACAGATGTTGAGAATATATTGAAGTATTCACCAAACTTGCAGTTTATACGATTGTACACAATACACGGCAATAGTTACGACCATTGAATTTCAAAATCTGAATCAGCGGGATGGATTTTTCATTCCAGCTTCTCTGATTCAGATATTCCTACTCGTATTATTGACAATGATTGTTCGTGTGTGTTTTACCTGTTGTAAAACTATATGTGGCCTTGAATCCTCGATATTTGGATTGGGCTCGACGTCCTTTGAATTCTATCCTCATCCAAGGACCATTTGACATAATAGGTCCAGGTAGTTTATCTCCACAGTAGGAGTCTATTTTCTCCAGTCTTCCATCAACGAAAATGAAAACACTGACAGAATCTGAATAGTTATACCTGGAATTAAGAAGAACGTCAAGTGTGTTGAAAATGGTAGCAGATTGGTTCCCAAGAATAAGTGAAATTTCATAGTTTATCAATATATATCAAATTCAATCGCCACCTTCTAGTATTCTGCAAACAAAATGTTCTTGACTTTTAATTAAAAAAAAATTCGAAGGTTCCGTGTGATGAAATTTTAGGAGCAGTACCATTTCATTTGATTTGTCTCCATAACAGGTATTGACATAATACCGTTTAATGACTATTCTCATTCGAAGAGACAATAAGAAAAAATTCTAGAAATCTAATGGAATCAATAGACATGATATATACAGGAAACGACCAAAATAACGATGGATTCCAGCTAAATAAGTTGGAGCGACTCCACTGAACAGGAATAGATATTTTTGTATGTGACTATTCACATGGTGTCCCGAGATTACATGGAGTGATTTCAACTGCAGATTCAAGTAACAAAAAAGTTGTAAAAATTTATACCATGTGAACATGGTTCCAGAAATGGTCCCTCAGATACAGCGATCTGAAGACGAGCCCGAGATGGAGAAATTTTGTTTAAATATTTTCAAAACTCCTTGTGATATGAGATAACCAAATTTCGTACTTCCACCTAACTTTCTATTCTCAGTTCCTGTAATGTTGAGAATATCTCCAAATTCGTATTCTTGGCATATGACACTGGAAACGGTATACGGTGTTTTTCACTCGAAATTCTACATGCCAATATCTCGAAAGCATATAAAATTATTTGATTTTGGTACGAAATAGTCGATGGATTGGGTCAAGTAGATTTTTTTCAGAGTTTAAAAAATGCAACGCCGACTATGTTGCGATGGGTCGAAGATATAAATCGATTGCATTGATTCTGAAATCACGCACACTGAACAGTTTATGTTATTTATGAACTTATTTGTTAGTTACTCGAACTCATTTCTGATTTATACTGGTTAATAGTGAAAGTTTCTTGATCGACAAAAAATGCGATTACGTATGATTCTAACAAGAATACCATGAATATTAGTTACCTTGGCAACCATTGTTATCGCAATTGTTTCAAGTGCATAACTAGAATAGTGCATGCCTAAATCAGAACTGCGAGAGATCCTGCTGAAAGATTGGATTACTCAGCAAGATTTTCACTTTATTTCAAGCGAGAAAATTTTATTAAGAATTCTATGGAGCGGCGAAAGTCGATTCCATAATAATGGAATCGTGAACAGACATAACTGTCGTTTTTGGTCCGAAAACCATGAGTTGGATTAGAAAAAGAAGTCAGCGAAAATGTAGCTTCAAATTTTGGTGCGCCATGATAAACGTATTTCTGATTGGGTATCACTTTTACGAAGGCACTATAAATGCAGATCTAAGATTTCTTCTAACTAGACTTCCGGAACTATTAGAAGAAGTTTCCTGTGAGCATTAGAATGATTATGAGGCTACAGCAGACTGAAGTGCCTGCTATCATAATGCCGAACGCGGTAAGTATTTGAGCAGAGAATACCCCAAAGCATGGTTTGGCTCTGATGGTGTTTTAAGAACAAGACGGGACTGGATCAGTCTTGGTCTTGGTCTTGGTTCTGGATCGAAATGCGTTCAGAAATTTGAATCATTCGATTCAAATTTACAACAGTTTTCGTGCATATAATAATAATTTCGTATATCTCAGTCTTCAGAATTATTGTCAATTTGTGCGCATAAAGTAGAAAGCGAAATGAATTTTTCCTTTCACCATAGGAATATAATTTTGGGAAACCCCAAATAAGCATTAATTGAGACTCAAACCGCGAACAGACCGACGCCCGATAGGTCAGAAGGAAGAGAATATTTGAAAAGAATTCAAATCCAAACCAAATAACTTTTGTATTGAATTTGTTTCTATCTCCAATAGCAGGATGTATGAATCACTGTGACCTCACAACATATACCTATTTGTTGTAAACTCTGAAACTGTTATACTGAATTTGAAAAATGTATTTCTGATTCTGAGTAAACGAAAATAAAAAACCAAACATATGACAAATAAATATGTAAAATAAAATGTCATTGAATTTTAAATCAGATTTCTCTAAATATTGAGTAGATTCAAGTTCCTTATTTTTCTTTCAGGATCAAAACCAAGACTCTTGGAAGAGAGCCTTGGTCTTGGTCTCGGGAGTCAAGTCTTGGTCTTGGTCTTGGGAAAATTCATCAAGTCTTGGTCTTGATACCAATACAATACAGGGTGTTACAAAACTATGGGATCAAACTTCTGGGGGTTATTCAATGCAACAGTAGAAAACATTTGAGTAGTGGGACCCATGTTCGGAAAAGTGTCACTACACCACGACGGCCCTAAGACGCGTTATAATTCAGAAATACGATGAATTGAAAAAATAAGATTTAATGCATTTGATTTTTGCCTCCTGTACATGATATCATCACAACAATTGTTCAAAATGTCTTCCTACAACCTGAATAGGTACACCAATTTAAACGTCGCAGATGATTTCGACGAACTTGACTGAAAATTTGATTCTCGTTTTGAATGATTTCAAATGCTTTTATAATTCGTCCAATTGAATCTTGTTCTGTTTCTACTGGGAGAACTTCCTCCATCAAGAAACGTCGGTAAATAGGTCCTGTTAACCGCTCCGGTAGAAGGTATGGCCCAATCAAATAATCATCAACAATGCCTGCCCATCCGTTGACAGACCAACGTTGCTGATGTTTCCTAGAAAACATTGCATGGGAATTTTCTTTTTCCCAAATATGGCTATTCCTACAATTGAAAATACCGTCTCTTGTGAAAGAGGCTTCATCGGTCCATGAAACATGGTTCGAAACATTTGGTTGTGCAGCGATTTCATGAAGAAGCCATTGACAAAATTGAAGTCTAGGATGATAATCGGCTGCAGTCAATCTTTGAACTATCTGGAAGTAGTAAGGACAGGTAAGGATAAAGTTGTTGCTCGTGTAGCACCCGCCAGACGGAAGCGTTAGTCGTATTCATATCCTTAGCAAAGTGAAGTGTGCTACTTGATCGATCGTCAGCAACTCGCTGAAGGACCTCTTCTTCAAATTCGACCGTTCTTACGGTTCGAGCAACACCAGTATCATGCATGTTGGTTTTGTTTTGAATTGAACATGTCTGTCTGTCTGTCTCGGAGAGCCACCGATGAATACCAATAAACTTTTTGTATCCCAAATGCTGTCATTCGAGATAACGTTCTTGATACAACCGCGCTGCTGCTTGTGCATTGCAGCTTGTTGCTCCGTATGCCAAATGCATATCCGTCAATTATTGATTGGTAGAGTTCCCAATTAGCATCAATTAATTTTTTTTCGTTAAATTCTTGCAAACCTACCAAATATGATAGCACGATTAAGGCGATATGGAATGCAACTACAAAAAAATTCTCTGTTATCATTTTCAAACTTAACAACTCACATGCGCCGGTAAACTGTAAAAAATTTTCAAACATTGACATTGACAATTTGAACAATTGTTGTGATGATTTAATGCATTGAATCAAATTTTTTCAATCAATCGTATTTCTGAATCTTAACGCATCTCAGGGCCGTTTAGTGCCGTAGTGACACTTTTTTGAACATGGGTCCCACTACTCAAATTTTTTTCTACTGTTGCACTGAATAACCCCTAGAAGTTTGATCCCATAGTTCTGTAACATCCTGTATAATTCGCAAACTCTGAAGTGCATTTACCTATCTGAATTCTATGATTTTGTTTTCACGAATCCGTAATCCATTTATATTCTTGGTGTTTATATGCTTCTTTGGTTAGTTCACGTTAGTAACGTTGACTACCACTTATTAGATACACTAAATACTCACCTATCAGAATTGTCTCCAGAACAATAAACATCAAAATCCAGAAAAACAATTCTTATTCGTTCTTGATCGTTTCCATGAAATTCATAGGTGCAAATAGTATTTGACGAATATGGCGATGGGTACTCAGGACTCATTATCGTTCCATTTTTTTCAATTTCACTGTATATTCCAAACTCACAGATTGGTCCTGGAAATGGGAAAAATATTATTGAAATGATGAACGGATGAGTACTGAAGATAAGATCAGAAGTTTAAATTAGAAAGTTACTTCACAGTACGAAATGGGTGTCGGTATTGATAAATACCATTTCGGGGTTTGACCTTGTAATTCGAATTGATGTATAATAGGTGACGCTCGAGGTGACGTCATTGATGATCTTAATCATTTTCACTGAATACTTATACTAACATGTTGACTGCTCATGACACGAATCCGTGCGAGACTGAGTTCTCAGATAATGCACATGGCATGAATGGCATGAATCCGTGACGCATGCACATTCTCACTTATATCACCTGTTAGAACTGCCCTAAGAAAACACGTAATCCTGAAGAAATCCATTTCAAATTTATTTCGAGTCCAATACATCCATCGACGCCAAATGGATCTTCTGAACATCGTTTTATATCCACCTGATGTTTGAGTGTGTACTTCATGCCAATTTATGTCCATGGACGTTCAATTAGACGAAAGATGCGTTATTGGAATTTCCTGTTCATGACGTTCCGCAAATTGAAAATATGTTAGCCGTTCCTGAAATATTGAAAAAACTGAAAATCTCTTCCGTTCCGTTTTTTTATCATTTTGGTTATTACAGAGAGATATATTTGAAATTCTGTGTGAGCAAATGATTAATCATGATGAAAAAGAGTGTGAGAATGCCTGAAATATTTTATCATAATAATTTCCAGAGGTGCGAATTTTTGTTTTTCTTATACTGGGCGCCATATTCGGTTTTTATTTGTCTTTTATACCATTGGATAGGGCTTCAAATTCGCTTCACAAGCATGAATTACACGTTGACATTTTCTTATGAAACAGCGCCGAAAAACATCAGTATCTTCATCGTTGAATGTGGTAGGCCATGATAATAAGAAAACAAAATATCAGTTTTCATGACTACAAGAATCAATACTTCTTCATAGCCGTTTATAACACGCTACAACGCTTTACACCATTGAGCAAAAAAGGATGAAGAGGAAAAAAACCTGTAATGAAAAATTTTGGTTGAATATTCAAGATACTGCTACACCTATGACTATCACCGAAGGTTTCCATTCAGTACGTTAGACTTGGTCTTGACATTACTTCCAGTTCAATAATATTTTTTATGCACTAGCGGGCCGTAAAGTGCACTTTACCGCCCGGTTTTGCGGGCGTTAAGTCGCACTTTACCGCCCGCGGGCTCATTATGGCCCACGGGCCGTAAAGTGCACTTTACCGCCCGCTGTTCTCAGTTACCTTATATCCACATATCAATTCATGAAAAACCTATGATCATTTTCCTAGATTCTAATATATCCAGCGGTATATCATAAACTTCTTCTTTATCCGATTCCATATCTATCGCTATTTTTATTATCACTAATTTCTACTTTTCAGTCAGAGAATGACAATTCAGCTCGTTTATTGGATGATTGGATGTATTGATATAGACAACAACCATCAGCTTGATAGACAACGTCAAAATTAGTTAGGTATTATATACTGGGTATGCATATTGTGGAATTCTGAAGAATGAATCTCTTCTAGAGATCAAAGAGTTTTACTATTACGATAATTGCAATATGCGTACGATATTTTTCATATGTAAATCATCCATGAACATTACGCTTCTCTTGATTACTGAATTTATACGCAACAAATCAAATTTGGGGGAATATTAGTTTATCGAAATCTATAGTCATTACTTTTGAGTCAGAAAATGAATCACTAGTGCATAAAATTTTGTATGTATCACGTGCGTGAAATGCGTTTATGGCCTGTGGCGTGAATAATGGCCCGATGGCGCTAGCCTACTTTACGCCCTTGATACATAAATAACTATTATGATGAAATAAAGTATCAGGCAATATTCATTGATTCATCATTGATTTCATGAGTTCTGTTGATAGACTCACTAATCCTCAAATAATGAATTTGATATCAGGATTCATTCAATCATCAGATATATGATATCAAAGGCGAACGAATCTTGAATATTAATTGGATAGTTTGTTGGATTGTTTTGCTTTTTCCGCCTTTTTGCATAATAATGTAGCGTTATTGCGTATTTTAGATGACTATGAAGAAGTATTGTCATTATTTTGTCATAACGACTGATATCCTATCACATTCTACGATGTTTTTATTGTTTATTGGCGATGTCAAACATGACTGTAAAGAAAATTTCAAACCCGATTCAATTGTTTGGGAAACAAATATAACGCCCATTGAAAGAATCAAATTTGATTGCTAAATCTCTGAAAATGATAAAGATGAAATAATTCTGACAATTTCAATTCATTTTTCATGATATTGATCACCTGCATACACAATATTCTGAATTTCTTCCTCTGAATATAACTAAGAAAATAATTGGAAATGAAATTAGTTATAGTGATTCTCAGTAACCTACTTCGAAATATTTCAGAAACAGCTGTCATTTTCCCAAATCTCGAAATGTTATATTCGAGTGGTCGAGAGAGTTGAAGGTATAGACGATTCAATATAATCGATCTAGTCGAATGATTGTATCAGGAATAATAAAAAGAAGATGATTTTCATCTAATGAGATCGAATAAAAGTAAAGACTCAACCCATGCAAATAGACTCCTTGTATTTCGTGCTTACCTGTAGACTCACACAACTGACCCAATCAATAGTCTCGGAAATTGAAAAATCCTAAACCAAAATCCTGTTATCTATAACCAGATAAGGTGTGTCGCATTCGAATAATTCTGTCTGGAATTGTCTGCGGTAAACTTCCATTCCAATCTATTTCAGGAAGTCTTCAGCAAATCAGGAAACCAGAGCTCCTAATTGGTTTCGCCTTTCCATCTTACCAGGTTATTCAAAATGATTTTTGGTTCGCAGAGGACTCACTGTTCTCATCTCCAACTATATTGTCAACTCCATTTTGATGACAATGAATGAAAACGTCACATTGAAAACATACCTTAATTCATTCCGATTCCGCTCAGAATGGCCAAAGAGTGTGAAGAAAACTAAAATATACTCGAATTCTACTAAATCTCAACCCTTTTTGTTCGCGAAACCGGCAGAAAATGAAAAAGATTCTTGTCTTGGATAAAAATTGATCAAGACATTGGAAGACGAATGAATATACAGTGTGATTCAAAAGTGAGCGGCATCCTTTGGGTGGCGGAATCTATGAATAAGAGTAAGGAAAAATGTTTCATTCAGTGTGAACCGAAAATGTTTCGTAAACGAGCTATGCCTTTTCGAGGAGGACTCCTGGAGAACAATTTTCCTATCTATTTTTTTCGATTCCTTCATTATAGAAATTTAAGAATTGACGTCATACAGTATGAACTCTTGAATGTGATTTCAAATTCCAAACATTCATTCAGATGAGTCTAATGCGGTGGATGGTGAGGGTCGATTTCTTTTTCACTTTCGATATTCTGTTTTGGGATCATTAGATTCTGGAGATATTCACGTGGAGAAGGTATCACCTATTTCATAGTTTCATTCGATAGAACGTACTATTCACGAGGAAATCTACTGTCAATAATATAATTACAAGATACTCATTTCATCATCCCAGAGCAGAGTGACCTGAAAAAACTACATATTGACGTAGATTTTACGTCTTTTCTTGTTCCACAGCATCTTCTGAATGAAATATTTGCCACAAATGATGTCACATTTTGATGTCCAATCGATGTAACCAGAGAGAGCTCAATGACGTTTCTACTGATTCCCAAATTCTTCCGTTCGACTAAATTAAAGAGATTCGTCGTTTTCTTACTTTTCCATCGTCCGTTGTTCCCTACAACGTGGAGCCTAATTCGCCAACTTCTGTTGCATTTCTATCAAACTATTGCTAATGTTACCAAGTTTTTCCAAATTATTAGAATGGATCGTGAATCGACAACTCAAATATTACCTAGATCAAAATAATATATTAACTGATTTATAGTACGGTTTCCGAGAGAATACGAATAGTACTGATTCAGCATATTCCTTGTTAGAACACATAAATAGTGCACTAGTACGAAGGCCTGGAAGGGACACATAAAATAAAAAAAAAATAAAAACTCTTCAAAATTCTGAGTTATAACTCGGAATTTGAAAATTCCGAGTTATAACTCGAAATTTTACATCAAAATTCCGACTTATATCTCGAAATTTTTGAAATTACGTGTTATAACTCGGAATATTGGATGTAAAATTCCAAATTATAACTCGGAATTTTAGAATTATAACTCGGAATTTTAAAATTCCGAGTTATAACTCGGAATTTTACATCCAATATTCCGAGTTATAACACGGAATTTTAAAATTCTGAGGTATAAGTCGGAATTTTGATGTTAAATTCCGAGTTATAACTCGGAATTTTGATATTCCGAGTTATAAGTCGGAATTTTGAAGAGTTTTTATTTTTTTTCATTTTATGTGTTCCTTCTAGGGCTTCGTACACTAGAATACCATCAACACCCTTTGTGAAAAAAATTTTTTTTTCAAATCACTCCACTTCCTTAGAAAGTGTGAGGCGAATGGAAGGATGAGATTCGGAATCTTTGGAGTAGATGAACTACAACAGGAAGATTTGGTCGAATTAGAGTGGACGGACATCCTGGCCTTCATCAGAAGGACGGGAAGGTTCGAAAAGGACAACTAAAAGAGGGATGTGTAGATATGTGGAGAGCAGGGGTTGGCAAAAAGGGCCCATGGGGGCCTACTTGCCTGGCTACAGCCTTCCCACAATACTACTACTACTACTTTTTACCCGTATAGAGATGCGTATATACTGATGAAAGCGTCAGGATTGAACAGGTCTGCCCAGAGAAATCATCGTTACCACCAAGTTACCACAACGCATACTAACAATTTAATTTCATCAAAGGTTTGTGGTATATTATTATGTGCCGATAATACCGTATATTCTTCTCAGGATTTCTTATTTCATAACTCATTTCGAGACGTCAGTTTGACGTATGAATATGACGTCTTGACGTTTCT